CCAGACTGAAAAGCAGTGCTTCACTGCTGCCTTTGGTTGAAACCTCCAAATCTGTTTTGCCTCTGACCACATTCAGTATCATAGTTAGGTGCAACCGGGTGTGGCACCAGTCACCACACTAGGGTAGTCGTATCACACATCATTCAGTACACGGATATACACTGCAGCAAAGGGAGGGGTTACACCACTGGATACCAGCAAAAACAAGGTTTTCTGGGTCTTCAGTCAGTCTTTAATTTGCATCTTTCCCTGAAATGAAACTAAAAAACTAAAAACTAATGTGAGCATATAATTGTGACATTCAATGTGCGACAATCCTTTTCATTTTTAACAAGACCAGGTAGAATATGCACCTAAATCTTACCCCGTCTGGTCAGCCCGAGGCTCAGTATGGGGAACAATGATTAATACTGCATACGTGCCGCACTTCAACACCTCAGTAACAACTCCGGAACCTTGTCAGTATGTGTTTCACCTTCCCAGCACGTGACTGATGAACAACTCTATTATAATCATCTCGATTCACACTAGGACTCTTCCCCCTATCGTCAGATAATTAAGCTGATTTAGTCACACTTGAAAACACAGACGATACGTGAGGGTAGTTCTCTGAACGCCACAGATCTAAATAACTTTGTTTAATTTGAGCATAAAGAACTCTGAGTGTGCAAGATCAGTGAGATTACATATTGCCTCGTCAGTGTAGTTTAGTAAAATTGTTAAGACATGTACAGCAGGAATAAAATAAATACATACAGTGTAATGTAGGTTAATACAGCCGAGAGAGAGTTAAGAACAAGACTCATCGTTCTGTCCAGTCAGAGACTTGCATTAAAAATGTATTTGGTAGTTTCTTGTAGTCATTTGTCGTTGTCCTTCATTCCCACCAGGTATCCATTCGCCGTACGCGTACTCTCTGCTTATAGTGGTATTCTTTCAGGTGCTTTTTTAAAGCATTTGGAATGGGAAGCATGTTAATGCCATCGTAGGTGGTGCAGCTGCTAATGACCGCTCGGCAGATGTGCTGCAGGCTGAAGGGCTGTGTGCGGTGGATGGGGTTGGACAGGAGGGGCTCGAAGAACATGCAGGAGTTGGGGTCCTTGTAGTGCTCCAGCAATCCTGTGACTGTGGGAGCATGGAAGACACTGGGGTCGTGAACGTCAAAGCTAAAATTGTGGTTCCACTGTTCTATGCGTGCATGTAGCGAGCGGCCGTAGCGGCGGAAGCTAACAGAGAAGAGGTAGTCTTCCTGAGCAGAGTCGCGCAGGAGGAAGGTGCCTTCGGGCTTTCCCTCCAGCAGCGTTTCTGCCTCGTAGCGGTCCATAACCCCCCAGTAACACGGGAGGTTGGTGATCTGCAGCAGGTCTGGAACTAAACAGTGAATGTAATCAATCTGAGTGTGAATGCGGTAGCCATCGTGAGATTTGTGATGTTCTGTCTGAGGAAGTATGGCTCTAGAGGTCATGTTGGTCGCTGTCACCTCTGGGTCAACCAAAGGGTCGGAGACAGTGTCACAGGAGTGGACAGAGGCTGACGCTGAGGCCACCACCTCATCCAGAGTGTCCAAACAGCTCTGAAGTAGGAGTTGGTGTTGCTGCTGTCTTTGGAGAAGGAGCTGCTGTTGCTGATGAACAGAGGCTCTGTCAGTCCCAGATAATTCATTCATACCATGCGCCAGCTTAGGGCCATGCTTGTAGAGAGGGTTAATTTGGGCTGTCACCTCAAACGTGTGGATCTCTGCATTGGGTGGTGGCTCAACGCCTTGTTCGATGCTGATGCGCCTGCGCTCTCGCAGCCTGTCATCCACGTCCTCCACCACAGTAGCCATTGCTGAAGTTGGGGCACTGCACACGACTGCAGAATCCAGCAGGGGAGGCTGGGTAATGGGGGCCGTGTGTTGCTTAATGAGATACCACTTCTGAGCCAGCTCTGATCCTACAGGGAAAGGGCAGTCATCCAACATCAATTCACTGAGATGGATCTTACGCCTCGAGGAGGCACAGGCAGTTGACGATGAAAGAGCCTGTGGAGGTGGAGCTGGTGCCGCTGCGCTGTGTGTCTTTATTGGGAAACACTGCCCCATTGCATCTTGAATTTTTTGCCTGAGAGTGCGACTGCTGCTTGACCCTCTGCCCTCACCTTCGCCGGCTGCAGGTAACTCTGCCGCAGAGCTAACTGTTCCCAGACCTGGCCTCGCTGTTACCCGTTCTTGTCCCAGCAACGAGGCAGCGACTTCCAGGCCCTGCCATCTCCAACTCTCCCTCAGAGGAGAGGAGGAGGATTGGTCCCTTGTCTCCAGGTCACTCAACAGCTCGCCATACTCAAAGCCATCACTGACAGGCCGCTCAGCTGCTGGTTCATGGGAGGCGAGACCTTTTTTCTTCCCCTTCCCACCTTTCCGTCCGCCACCTGCATCTCGTCTCTCCTCTGACCGACTCTGTCTCACCTTGGGACGGGCCCCCCTCTCTCGATCTTTCCCTCGGTTTCCTGACTCCTTTGGTAATGACATGACAGCAACAGTTTCACCACTCTAGGGAGTTGCCAAGGAATGACTTGTAAGTGCAGTTATCTTTTAGCAAAAGTTTTCCATCCACATTCCTTGTTTGAGATGTCATTATCATCATCCATGCATAGCGGCCACAGAGACTTTAAACGACCTGCAAAACAAAACAAAGGCTTCGCTTAAGGCAAGAATTTAACACATTGACATAATTCTGAATAACATACTGTCACACATTTCATGATGCACAGTCAGCTGCCATTTTATTGTATGCACTCATTGTACACAACAGCACTGGTCGGAATTAAATCGATATGACGGCTGTAATGTTCGGTGTTGTTTAAATGGTTTCAGAAAGGTGCTGACTTGAGAACTACAACTGACCTTTAATTCTTGACTATTCTGCTGATTCAATCAATACTTAAAACTTTACATTTACAAAATAGTGAAAAATGTTCCACATAACATTTTGGCAGTTTACTGTGTTGCTGAATTAAACAACAAAAGACCTTCTAGTGTTTAATGACATTTTGAGTGTCTACAAGTTCGGGCTGAACAACTGATTAATTATAAACAGAAATCACAATTTGAGTCAATCACAAAGAATCCAATTTAAGATTCATAAGGTGTAGCTAGAAGACTAACACTGTGATTCAATCGCATTTAGTTTAAGCACATGTGAAACTTTTAGGGGTTGTTAATGAAGACATGCACATTGTGGTTTAACTGACACAAAGCCAGTCCCAGTGCTTAATAACCACACCTCGTACATCATGTGTCTGATCCAGGGTGTAAATTGTCTGTGATGGTATGACAAATTCACAGCACACTCCTTGTGCGACAGTCACGCCTTTGATGATATCTCATTAGAGCTCCAACAAATATTCAAGTTCTTGTTAACTATTAGGTAAATCAGCAACTATTTGAACAATCAATTAATTACACGGAGTGACTCTCAAGATGCTTTCTAATCTCATCTTGTTAAAAAAGTGGATGTTTCCTGTTTATTTACTCATTAATGGCAGTAAGCTAAATATCTTTAGGTTGCGGACAAATGAAGACATTTAGGGACATTATCTTGGGCTTTGGAAACACTGATCGACACTTTTCATCATTTTCTGACATTTTATAGATGAAGTCCGGAAAATAAGCGACAGATTAATCAACGATGAAAATAATCATGAGCTGCAGCCCTTTGTCTTCTGTCGTAATGCTTCCTCACATCAGATCAAAACTATTACACAGAGATTATTTAACTGAAGCTGGACTTAAAACAAATAATGAGAAATTGATTCGCAATATGTCAGAAGAAATGTCCAAATCAATCAAGATCAAAAGGAATTCCTGCGCATAAGTACACTGTAAATCAAAGGCATATTAGGAAAAATATTAGGAAACTAAAACAAGCATCCAACAGCAGCCAGTATAGCACCAACATCCAGTTTGCTGAATGAAACCACTGTGTTGGTTCTGAGGCATCCTGTTCCAGCTGACCTTGCTGCAAAGTTGTCCTATCAGGACTGCATGTCAGTTTATCTTTAGTTTGAGCAGATTTGATACTATTCTTTGATTTAATAAAGATCCCACGTTACCAGGTCTGACAAAGAGAAAACCATCTACTAAGTCTCCTAACATTAATGCAAGTGAACCTGAATTCACAATTACTGAAAAGTTAAAAGGATGTGAAACGTATAACGTCGTACCGAAAAGCAGCTCCTGTTGTAGTTTATTTAAAAACGCTGCCAGTGAACTACCGCGCTTATTAGCTCAAGTTCTTATTTATTTTAACAGAGTTGTTGTGTCAGCCAATAACCTCTATTTGTCTTGAAAAACAACGATACAAAAGCTCGGCATCAGAGACGAGCCTCTGTCCTCTCAAATCACATCCTCAAGCTATTATCGAGAGATTGGGACGGTCGATTAAAACTAAAAACCAACCAACTTTTCCTGTGTAACTTAAGCTAACATTAGCAGACGTAAAATACGCTAAACATTTCAAACTTTTAAGGCAAACTGCAGACTCAACCGTAGTTTTTACACCGAAACACATCAGAAAATAATGATAACTAACATGCTAGCATCGTTAGCAAGCAGCTGTTTACGGTCGGTGTGAGCTAAGTTAGCAGGGCAGCTAACTTGGGCACTCTTTACAGTAGGAGGAAAGGCTTAGCCGTGTGTGTAGACACTCGCATCTAGCTTTTACGGCTTTAACACAAAGCGTGAACATACCTAAGCAGTTGTACTCAAGTTTCCCGACGAGACAGCCTTTGTTTCTTCTTAGATAAACTAATGACGTTAACAGCAAGGCGGCTAGCTCACATTAGCTTGATGAGCTGAACCGTGCGACCCGGAAGTAGAAAGCCGCACAGGATCATAAAGGACGTGTGTAATATCACGAATAAAAGCAATTTAAAAAAAAAAAAAAAAAGAACACCGCACTTTTTTTTTCTCTAGCTGCTAATGTGGAACAAAGTGAATGGACACAAACACAGACCACAAGTGAAGTTGCAAAAAGAACTGAACCTCTTTATTTGGACTGTCAATGATCCGACGGATGTTGCACTTCAGACCATTCACACATATGAGTGACAGTAAAAAAGTAGAGTGTAAGCATGTGATGCAAAAAGGTTCATAAAATATTAGAAAATGTCTGGAGGGTGGGAGGGGGAGGGGAGTTATTAGAATTAAATATAAATTGTACAAGACATAGATGTGCAGTGTAGCCTACAGCTGGCTGCATTAATTCAATAACTAAGCCTGGCAGGGACATTAACATGATCTCAGGACCACTTGGTAGACGTCTCCATATGACACAGGCTCTGTACCTCCTAGTGGATGCTTGGTATGTTCAAATACACCAGGCTGAACTCATGAAGTGCATTTCCCAACTCATTTCACGCATCATTGGAATGTAAACATGGAGTAAACATATTCCTTGGCCTGTTATTAGTGTTCAGTTTACTCATAATCACATCATTTGTGGCTCAGATAAGCATCGTCATCCCCTGCTGCAAAATCATCATCATCATCAACACACTTGTCGAAATCTGCCGCATTGTACCTCTGTGACCGTTTGCAGTAATAAGCAGGCTTTCCAAAGCAACAGAGGCCATGAAAAGGTTAATCTGAGCCATTTGTAACATAACACAGTTGATATACAGTATAGTGAAGAGTTAAAAAATAAGAAGAGCTGAGTCTTAAAGCCAGCATTGGTAACTCACTGAAGTCCTTTGTTTTTGCGGGCAATGAGTGTGATGCTTTTACTAAGTCAGATCTATCCAAGAGCCTGCTCTGAAGAAAACCATGACTAGAATACTTCGTGAGATCGTTATTAAAACAAACATATCGAGGATGCTGGAGCTGAGCATTTTCAGGCACCACATGAACAGTTTATCAGGACATGACAGCTGACAGTTTAATCACAAGGCCAGAGGAGCTATTCTTTCTCGTCACCGCATGACCCAGAAAAGCAGGTGTTACATGCCTCATACAGGTATCATTTGAAGAAAAAAAAAAAAAAACAACTACTGAGACTCATATGGAGTCCACAGATTAGGGGGAGGGTAGAGGACTTTTGTTTTTTTTGTTGTTGTTGTTTTCAGGCTCTACCCAGCCAGCTCATGTGTGAGAAGGCTTCAGTTCTTTAATGTGTTACATAGTGAGACAATGGATTATTCATGACATCACATAACATGAACGGGGCATTATCCCAGAGAGATGTAAACAGTGACATTTAGGCGATATAAACATACAACATTAGTTGCAAGATCTCTGCTCTTCTAGCTGTTGGTGACACTGGGCACCATCAACCACCATGTCCTCTATCTACAACAGTGCTGTATTAGTGTGGCAAAACATGCGGTTATAGAAAATAAGCATAAGTTATCAATATCAAGGGAGAGTAAAAAATACAATTGGAAAAGATATCTGTAAATAACCATCTTTACTAGGACAGACCTCCTATGGCTCTGCTGAAATAATATGTGAATGGTTATCCCTGCCTTATGATGCAACCAAAAGTGATCAAAAAGTTAAGACCATATTACACATACATGCACCTCCGGCTCTGCCACATTCACAGACAGAGGCTGTATAAGACAGTTTTTGATTCAACACTGATACCACATGATAATGTTAGGGTTCTGAGACTGAAACACACCGAGACACAAACAGAAAAATATGGACATCGTCAAGCACCTTGAAAAGTATGATTCATCAAATCATCACGTTGGCCATTTGAGGAAGAGGGCACTGCGAGGGTGAGGCGCTGCGCTTCGGAGCATTTTACTGCAAGATCAGGCTTCATTTTCCAAAGCCAATCATAAGGGGGCCAGAGGGTTGAGATGAGTTTTCATTTAGTTTTTTCACCCGGTATTAGAGTGTAAATTGAAAACACTCTGCCCTCCTCGCTTTTATCAATGCAATATCAAATCAGCTCTCACGGTACAAACCTCCCCAGCCCTTACCCCTCTAGGGATTCCTCGGCACAAAATGAGATTCATCATCATTTATGTAGTAGGGCATAAAATAACAGACAAATTGCAGCTGGCATAAATTCTTCAAACCGCTGTTCTTTTTAAAAAAAAAAGAAAAAAAAATTAGATCATTCTGTTGCATTTCACTACAAATATCTTTCTCAAATTAACAATCGCACAACCCTTCTCTTTGGCTTTGTAGAAGTTTAGAGGAGGACAGTCACTTCTACTTTGACTATTTGTTCATGGGAACACCACCAAGACAAAAGGTATGCCTGTGGTTGATCTACAAGCTTTTCCAAAAACCCTTTTTCTCCTCCCTCTCTTGCCTTTGCCACAAAAACGTGTTCTCTCGAGAGGACAAGAAGAGCCAAGGAAAGCTGTCCAAGTTTTAACCAACACGAGCCCTGACCAGCGCTGATTAAAGAACAATTATTTTGGATAGGAATTGTATATAAACACCTGTCTACAAGTGAACCTCAGTGAGTATATCCTTGGCCAATTACAGTTTAGTGCCTAATATCAAGGATAATTTAATAAAAGTGCCTTACTTCTGGCTGCAAATTTTTCTGAATCTACACATTATGTGGTGCTGTGGCTGTCAGTGTGTTTTGGATAGAAAGCCTTGTTCCAAGGCAGAAGGAAAAGAAGAGTAACTCATAGGGCAGAGCCCCTTTAAGACAGCACCAATCCACTGTTTTTCTCTCACCAAGGCAAACGTAGCCTCTGCATATCATGCCACAGTCCTGCAGGTGACATGGAGCAGTTTGCACAGTTAACCTTTTTCTCTGTCCTGCAATATAATAATCATCTGTATTCCATTTTTAATAAACTTAGTTGTATATAATAAAGTACAAAAATATTAGAGAACATATACACAGTTTTTTTGTCATTTTGTAGTGACTGCTTTGCCTGGTTTTCTGAAGCATACGTATATCTTTGTGCTGGGTGATGAGGAACTGAACAGGCCTCAACTGAAGTGTATCTTTTCCTTTCTTCGTCTTCGTCTTCTTCTTCTCATATTGTTGATGTCCGATCTGTTCCATCTGAAAAGGAAACTGGAAATAAGTACGTTTCAAGACATTTACTACCATATAATGTGCTGTATTATCCATATTTCATCCTTAAAATAGGTACCGTCACTGCTGGAGAGAACTACTGCTTTTTCTCCTTTCCAGGGGCAGAAAAAGTTACTGATGCCTTTTTATGTGTCCACAAATTTTTTACATTCACTGAATGCTTTATGCATTTTTATGATTTTTCAGCCACTGGATATAGCATTTGTTATATTTATTACACACCTTTTTGAGTACCTAATACGCTTGTTCAACAAGCTGGGAAGATACACTTTCCTGCTGAATGAAACCATATACAATCCAGACCATAATTATTTGGATAGCCACACATCCTTTTTCTACAAGTGCTTCACCACATTACATTTGAAATAATATAATGGGTGCTACATTGAAGTCTAAACTTTGATTCAAGTAGCTTTACATCAATACAGAAATCAGAGTGTGGGAGAAACAGCAGACATCCAGAAAGTGAGCCAAACTAGGCTGTTAAATATACTTTAAGACGGAACAAGCCTTTAAAAAAAATCAATAACCTTCCATATCTCTGGTAAATGAAGGAAAACAATTTAATTTACCCAAATTTCATCTCACAAACACTTGAGAACACAGAGGTACTGAGCCTTAAACTGTGACCACACTAATGATATTGCATAATTTAAATGCTATTAAATATTAAGACACAAATACACCTGATGAAATATAATTTCGAGAAGTCATCATCCCTGTTTGCATAGGGGAAATTGTGTGTGAAGAAAGTCGTATGTGTTGCTTTCCCTGATGGGCTGTCACTGAGCATTGAATCCTTTTCTCTCCCCGCCTAGACACACTATATAATACAGCGGTGTTGTCTAGTTGGTAGCTGTGTGATGTTTGTCAGCCAGTGGCCTATTTAGTACCGAGCTGTTGAGGACACTTACCCCCTAAGGCATGCTCTGTCATACTGAGGCACAGTGACTCCAGCGTGGGGTTGATCTCCAGGTCAGCACCTGGAACTTGGCATTCTGAGGAAATGAAAAACACTGTCACTCCACAGGAACATTATGAAACAGATTTTCTTATCATTGCGAGTGTCTTTTCTTTATTTATTTTGTTACCAGCACTAAGAGTACAAAAGAAGCAGTATATTTTTCTCTGAACAGATAAAGTCCAAAGAAGATTAGCCTGCCTTTTTTTTTTTTTTTTAAACTTTAAAAGAACAATTTCCATTATCAGGACACAAGTACGCTTTATCTGGCCAATGTGTGTGAGAACTATCATTATGTTAATGTGGTGTTCAGCTACTTTTTTAGCCCAATTACAATATGAGAAAGAGACGATAGATACTACATGCAAGGAATAGTTCTGTTGGCCAAACAAAGAACGCCGCATATTATATACTACAGACAATGATTACAAGTATTTCATGCAGTTAGAGTATAATCATGTTATCTGACCCTGTTAAACTGAAGTCAGTTTCAATATGTGACTTTGAGCCATTTGATTGAAATGTATGCTGCATGTGAACCTAACAGGCAAACTGTGTTAATCGGGATTAAGGTTATTGTTGAACAAGTCCAGTCCAGAATGGTGCTGAACCTCAAATGTAAATGATTAATGAGTTTTGTATTTCTTTTAGAAAATATAAATGTTATATAAATACAATTATCAGGCAGCTATTAGTGTCCAGAATCATTGACCAGCGTGATTTGCTGTCTGTATTCTTGTACTCGTCATATGTTTGTTTCTTGGGATTATTATGCGAGGTAAATGCTGTTTTTTGGGTCATCTGGTGTTTGTTGTATTGGGCTTCTGGTTTCTTTTTTGTTTGTTTGTTTTTTAAGTATCTGTTACGTTGTATGATGAGCCGGCGGACTCCTGGCTTCCGCTGTGCCTTCTCGTCTCAAAGACAACTTGTACTTGTGCTTTGAAGATTTCTTTCTTTCTTTGAAGAATCATAAGCAAACCAAGTCACAAAAATCATTTTTCCCAACTCACTTCTTTGTTCCCAAATAAATAACACAAAAAGACAATTAGGTTTTGTTTTTTAAAATTCAAAAATATTCAGTGACCAATACAGCCACCCCTCTTTTCATTTACTGCAATGAGCCTTCCATCCAAGGAGCCTGTCAAGATTTTCATCAGTTCACAATCAGCTTTCACTGAAAATGTTGTTCAAAGATGGGCACTGTCTGCTCCCACTTTATATCTCACATTTAACAAGAGCCCACAAGTTCTCAGTAGGACTTAAGTCAGGTGTGGAAGGGGGTGCCGAGGTATTATTCAGTCATCTTTGAAGCTTTTGCTGGCCAGCCAAGCAGTGAAATACTGAGATGCATGTGATGGAGCACTGTCCTGCATAAAGATCACAGCCACTGTGAACACTGTGGACTTCTTCCTGTAACGCTGCTTGAAGAAAGCATCTTCCAGAAGCTGGCAGTGGGATGGGGAGTTGATTCTGAGTCCATCTTCGACCTGCCATGGTCCAAGTAACTCTTCCTTAATGATCACAGCCCACACCACCCCTCCTCCACGTTGCCAGCGCCCGACTTGAAGTGATGCCCTGTGTTCATTAGTGATCCAGCCACGGGCCCATCCATCTGCTCGGTCAAGAGACACTCTCATTTCATCTGTCGATCAAGCCCTTGAAAAATCTCTCGGCAGGTATTTCTTTTGCCCCGTCGCCATGCTTGAACAGTGCTAGTCATGTTTCAGCCTTCCTCACCTTGGCCACGTCTCTGAGCACTTGGCACACACTCTGTGCTTCTCGACACTCCAGGTAGGTCACAGTTCTGGAATATAGTGGCACTGGAGGATAGCATTTCTCTGGCAGCTTAGAGTTTCCTTTTCCTCAAGTCTGGCAGTTTATTCATGGCTTTTTTCCCCCTCCATGTGATTTTGCGCTTCTAACGACTATTTGCACCAGAACGTTTGATTAGCAGGTTTTCACACTTAATGAAGACTGGGGAATCTGTTTATAAGGCATTTTCTAATTTTTAACTCTTAAGTGTTAAAGACATCTTTCTGGAGCATTTCGCTTGAGGTGATGAAGCTGCCCAATTATTATGCACAGCTTAACATAAAGGTGTTAATCCCTACAGGCCACACCCTTCCTCATTACACAAATACACAACATCTGAGAGTGATTAAATCCAACAAGCATTCAAGGTGATATGGTTTGGAGTTGGAAAACGTGGACAGAAATAATGATAAGGTCAGAATACTCCCTTGCCTAATAATTATGCACACTGTGGTCTGTCTGTACACCTAAGTGGGTGAGACCCTCTTTCCTAGTTTTATGGCTTGTTAGCAACTGAGAGCACAGTTTACAGCCATCATTTCACCTGTTTACAAACCAAACTGTGATCACAAGTTGTCACGTAAGATGCACTCGAGATGTATTCTGATGTCAGGTGTAAACTCCAATCTGTCTCAAGTGGATGCAGACATGATATATAATACTGATCAGAGAAAGGGCAGAGTTTGGGTGAGCTTGGAAAGTGAAACCTCAGTACACCAGACAGCAGTGACCATTTGGGTGTTAGGTTTGACCCTTGGCTGATCTTTAAATTCAGCTGCAAAACAGTGACATTGAACAGCTTTAAATAGAAAGCACTTTGAGTACCCAGAAGAACACTGGTGAACACAACTTTTAACAGAATACAGAAGCAGGAATTTACTGGCACTCATTCAAGGGGAGTCCTTCCAATATCCAGTATATATATATATATATGTGTGTGTGTGTGTGTGTGTATTTTTTTATTTTATTTTTTGCTATGATTTGTTACAGTAAACCTTGAAAATAACAAGGTACACAATGCATGATCTATGGGCGCTAGGCATGTCAGCACTAGTGAATGAAGTGCACTTTCCAGAAAATATTGCAATAAACAAACCAACATGGTATCAAGGACAATCCTTTGTTAGAATGTGCCACTTTTAGAGAGTCACTGCATTAAATAGGAAGCTTTTAATAGCAAAACAGCAGCTGTTGCCATCTTAAACACAGTGAAAAGGAAACATGGTCGATGATCTTGTGACAGTCTTTAGGGTTTAGTGTGAAATTAAAATTTTCAACTATTTTTGCCACACTTAATTATCCACACTTTTGGTTTTTTATATAGCTCAGCACATAACCGCAAGAAGTAGACAAAGTCCATACCAGTGGACATGGAAACTGTAGCTCTGCTGGGTTTATATATCTACAAGGTTGTGGATTCTTTGGCTTTGACACAGAATGCTCTGTTACTTAAAATGTCCTACGTTGTCTCTGTTAAAACATGATAGAGCTATTACAGGTAAATTTGCAATACTCGTGTGTGGCATCTGGCACACAAGACAAGGCAACCCAAAGGTTATGTATATTGTACGAGGCGACAGATTGTTTACTGCAACATGCTGCTAAGCTGTCTTGTTATTTTGTCCTTGGCACAGAGGGAGAGCAGCCCTCTATTCTGTCTATTCTGGCATCTGACCAATCCATAGCAGGGTCTTTTTTAATTTTTTTTTTCTAATTTATTTACAAAGTTGTGTCGCTTGTGTTGCATGCAAAACTCGCTGTCAAATACACCTCTTCCAATAAATCTCAATTCCATTAAGTTCTTCCAGGGGAGCTTAAAACTGTTCATTTTACTTCCAAAATGAAGGGATTTCTAAATGAGCGACATGTAGATAACACTAAATATGGAAACATTTGAACAGGAAAGATAGTTGGTAAAGAGTATGTTCTCTTAACATGTAACCAAGGACAGGGACAGCATGCATGAGCGCACATATGCATGCCAATGAAAAATAAAAGAGGCTTGACCTCGTACTTTACCTTGCTGCTGGAACATGAGCATGGTTTGTGGGGAAGTGTGGACAGGGAGCGAGTGGGTCCGCTGCACAGAGCTGCGACTCTGGCTTGGCATGCTGTTACTGCCCCCGGGGTTGGCAAACCACAGGTTCTGTAGAGGAAAACACAAGTTCTCAATTACACAAACGATTAATTATCCAGGGAGGTTGACAAGGTTTGCTTATCTTTCAGCTAAGCTATTAAAAAAAAATAAATAAAAAAAATCATATCATATTAAATGCCAAATCCCTTTCACTGCCAGGTGTATACTGATTAAAATCATGTTTGTTCACTTTCAGAACAAGTATTGACTATGGTGTATTGTGACTGCTTAAGCATGCCATGAAGTGGGTCAATATCTTCAGACAAAGCGAGCGGAAGAAAGAGGAAAAACTCTCAAAAATACGAAGGCCTACAAAAGTACATGTAGTATTAATTATTCTCAATAACCTTAAGTTGTCAGGTCACGCTTGAGCACAAAAACAATTCCTACAACTTCTAAAAAGTCATCAAAATGTATCAAAGTGATAAATAATCAACAGTTGTTTAAATATTTGACTTTTTTTTATACCGTGTACATGGTCTATTTGTCTACAAGTTAAAGCAACACATGCAGCAAAGCGATGTTGAAAAATCCAGCCATTGACAGGAATACTGACTTGTCTACCCTGGGCTGCCAACGCAGGATTAGTGAGAGTGTGGCGTGGAGACGCTCCGCCGATCCCACCCGGAAGACACATGCGCCCAGCTGGGAGTCCACGAGGGGTCATTTGGAACTGCCTTTGCCCCCGTCGCCCTACACCTCCACTCACAGAACCTGCTGTGGGGAGGGAGTTGGACCCATAGGTCCAGCTGGAGTAACAAAACAAACAGAAAAGAAACCTATATTAGAAATCAATGACAGTTGAGAGAACTGCACGTTCAACTGCTGAAGCTTTCACACATGAAATCCTAGTGATGACTTTAATGAGAAATAGAAAGCGAAAGCAAGAAGGGAAAGAAATGAGAATCAAAGTAACAGCTACGTGTAGGATGAGTGCAGGGAGAGTGTTACATTCAGCTGGTGTGACATCTCCCCTGCTAAAGAAGGAGATCAAAGGTAAAAGAAGGCCGGCAATCTCACCCTTTCTGTCGGTACACAGGCATGTCCAGCATAGCTTTCCGAGGAAACAGGCGGAGCAGTTTGAGGACCTGCTGCTTCCAGGACACCAGCCTTTTCTTGTGAGTTTCTGTGAAAGCCTGAAAGGCAGAGCCAGACAGCGGAAGAAAAAAAGGCATCAGATTTTCAAAGCACATTAGCATAGGTTCTGGAGATGCTTTTTGAATTTGTGATTTTTCAAGGAAAAGGCAAGTTTTATGTTGAGAAAAAAATACAGGTATTCTTTGACAGCTATGCTATCTCTGAAAAGCCTTATTTAAGGTATTTTTTGTGCTGTAAGACTGCCACTGGGTGCATTTACAACATCGCACAATTGTATGTACACAAATTAATTGCATATGTTAAGCAAATGAAAGAAAAAAAAATCTTCAGCAGCATCTCACCTCATGTGTCAGACACTTCTCAATTAGCTGAAGGTAACAGCTGATATTTTCCTCATCCGGCCTTGACACCAGCAGCTGGGTGCACACTGAAACAAAAAAAGGGTTTATAAATTTATGTTCACTAAAACAAGGTAAATGTGAAGGATATCTGCAGATCTGTGAGTATGCGAAAATGGATCGTTTGTAAAGTATCTGTGTTTTTTCGTTAAACACTGACATGAACCTAAATGTTTTTATTGCAGTATTTTGTTATGCTGTTGGCTGTCTGTCTGTGTTAAAGTTGTAAAATCATTTCTTATCAACACAACTGAGATAACCACATCTAACTTGAGCGTATAAAAAAAAAAATCTAACACCATATTCTTACCTTTACCCATAACACGGGTGAACTGTCCAGCAATGTCACCGTCTGAGATGGGTGTGACTGAGGAGTCTCCATCACAGGGAGGTGGGTTGTGGGACTGGAAGCCCTCTGAGGCCGGCTCTTTGTCTGCTCCTGTTTTTGTGGCTTCCGAAGGGGAGGTATTGGTGTCTGATGCAGGCTGTGCTGCACTGGGAGGACTGTAGGCCTTAATGGGTGTTATGATGATCTGCTGCAGCTCCTGGAGGGCGTTACGCAGATTTCCCCCTTCCAAAATATCCTGATAAGAGACGGCACCATGAGCATCATATGTTGCTTAAGCTATTCAGAAAAGCAAACTTTGAGTATAAGGGTTGTGTTGTGGGCAGACAGAACAATATCCACACTGTAAATCTGGATTTAAGCTTTAGTCGAGCAAACATTTGCTCCACTGAAAAGTCTTAGAGGAAGACACTGAATCCCCGCAAGCGCTGTTTCTATGCCAACAAGCAGAATGGGAAATTCCTGATGGACTCACATCAATTGTCACATGATCATCGCCGAGAACATATTCAAGTGCATTTTTGTGAAAATTCATCAAGAAAAGACACAGTTGCTCCTTTTTTTCAGCATTAGAAGCACATTATCCTCCCATATGAATTACCTTTTCTAAAGACTTGAGTACACTTTGTCTCTCTCGCAGTTTCTGGATACTCAAGGCAATCTTATGCCGCGCTCCTTTAGTGACGTTCTAAAAAGGAGAGATAGAAAATAACAAGATGGCATGAGAGGCAGGCAAGTCATTTCTCGTGGGAACACTGGGCAATTTATACAGTTACTAAATAACAAACCGAATCACCATCTGTTTCATTAAAGCCAAGGGGCAGACGCAAAATCGCACCATTTGTATGTGTGACTGGCTCAATATAACTGTAGGGTGCGTTGTTTAATTTCATGCCTCATTGAGAGTTGATGTATCAGGTCTGAGGACAGTAATGTTCACAATTGATAAGGAGTGTAGAATAATCAAAGCCTGGCCCCCATTGTATGTAAAAGGGAGGCTTAAAAACCTGCGACTCCAGGTGCTGCTCTGTGAGAATCATCATCTCTTCGTAGGTCATCTGGGAGAAAAGTGATGCATATTTATGAAGGCGGAGACTCTTCAACCATGCAGGAACATCTAATACAAAGAGGGGAAAAAAGGTACAAAAAAGTAATGAGATATTTTGGCACATCTCATCACAGCTGTTGGCTGTGCACAGCTTTAGCCAGAGCCAAATGCTGGGAGTGGCCTTGGCTCGGTAAAGTAAAGAACTCTGACCTTTCATGCCACTGCCATCCTCCTGGAAGGTGTTACGAGCGGAGCCCTGGTCTTCTGTCTGCTCACTGCCTGAAGAGGCTACACTGCTCTGGGGCGAAAGGGGTGCATGATCTGTTGGAATGAAGTTCTGTCGGCCCCCTGTGTCATCCTGGTTAACCCACTCAGAGCCACAAGCCTGAGGACTGGAAGGAATAATGGACATGGGCTTCTTCAGAGGGCTGGGCTGCATCTGCCCACCCAGACCTGGTAAGGGAAACACAGCATGTATGAGCAACAACAGAAACAACAGCCTGCCCAGGAAAAGAAACATTAACAGCACTAAGAATTGTATCTCAGTGGACACTGTTGCAGAATATAGATGATATGTCCACAATGGACATATTTCATAGGTTCCTTCCAAACTATTTTCTGCTCATGTTTTCTCCTCAACTGAAAGTAAGCAATGAGTGAGAAACATTACCTGTATTATTGCTGTTAATAGGTGAGGACATCCCACCTGGGAAAGGCATGTGTCCATTCTGGCCTGCTGGAGACGTGCTGGATGAAGGGGACTTGTCGTGCCAAGCATGGCCAGGGTCCAGAGCCTCAGCAGAGCTGGGCCATTCATCTGAGCCCTGGCGTGGATGGTATGGGCTGGATGGGGGCCGGGGTGCATAGCCACTGGAAAGGTGCTCCTCCAGGTGGTTCAGCCACATGGCCAGAGAGGTGCGGTCATCCAGTGTGGTGGCAGGGTGGATGAGTGCGTAAGACAGCAGCTGTCTGCTTTCTTCCACAAAAAGGCTACTCTCAATCGTGTGACTCAAGACCTTCTGCAGCAGCTTCATGTACTCACATTTGGCCTCGCTATTACGTGGCTGCAGCAGTGGCAGATGGGACAACAGCAAGGACACCACTTTTTCTTTTGGCTCCTGATGCCACTGGCTGACAATTGCTAATGACAAGGAACAGAGAATTTACAAATGATTAATGTTTTATCACTTGTTTAAAATAAGCCTTCTTCGATTTTAGAAAATGAAATAACACTGTCTCATAATCATAAATAATCAACAATACATAATGACACGCAGACTCTCAGCTACCTGCATTGTTGGCCTCAGCTTCAAGGATGTGGATCTCGGTGCAGTCTGCCAGCCAGTGTTCAAGGCAGATGTGAAGGAAGCGAGCCTGGGTGCGGGACACCCTCTTCAGGAGGGACAACAGTGCCACCGTCTGTTCACACTCATTCCAGCCTTTGAACCAATCTGTGAGGATACCTACTTGGTCTCTGAACATCATGGCGTGTCTCCTCAGTAAGGAGAACAGGAATGTGTGGATGGGGTGGGGGATACTGGGAAGGCTGCTCTCTTAGACACAGACAGGATGAGTCCAGCCCCGCACAGCGGGGTTGAATTTCAACAGTCCTGGGATCCCCTCAGACTGGACCGAGGGGCCCTCACATGGTTCAGGTGCACAAGGAACTGCAGACAGGGATGCCGTGTGGATTTCTGGAAAGCTGTCTTGAGGCTGAAAGTGTGTGTCAACTGTCGCAGGTAATGACACAAACAGGAAAAGCTTTTTTCACTCTGGCATATTCAGAATCACATCATCTGTGACAATTAAATCAACAAACATAAAAAGTGAAAATTCTATGACAACAATCATTGAATGTCTACTTCAAATTTAAAATCACATCAAAAGCAATACTTGTTTAGTATAACAAACCCCAAATTTGCTAACCTATCTATAACAAAGCTTTTACAGCATAAACTAAGAATCGCTTGTTTAAATAAAGATGAGTGATTTGGAAAAGCAAATCGATTCGTGTTCATCCAGTGATCTTACAAAGGTTTTGTTCATATTTGGGAACGTAGTAATCTACTCCAAAGATGCAAACAAAGGAGTTATGATTTTCTTAGATATTGAGTCTCAGTGAGTGAAATACTGAACTAATAAAGAGACTAATCTTTTATCATAAAAGCCCACGGATAATACAACAGTCAGAGATTGTGGCACAAACACCAAATACAGAACAACAGTCTATTATGATGTGCAAAGAATCGCAGTGATAAGGAATGTACAGGTTTACAAGTTCCAAACTAAACACAATGTGAGAAATATATCTAAAATCAATTCAATCCATTAAGTTATTTGAGGTACTCTTTTTGCAAATAAACATTATCACTTCATCAAGACTCGTGCCAATCTTGCTCACCCTGCTTGAGTCATATCATCATGATAAAGCAGCAAGTCATTCACAAAAGGTGTGCCAAAGTCGTTATCAAGAAGATAAGAGAGCAGGTCAATACCGCCGAGTGTAAAGCTTCACACATAACACCAAAACAGACTGCTACCCAAAGAATAAGGGTCATCGGTGCCTAGTATTTACGACAGCTAATTATAATGCAGTTTATCCGCTACTGAGGAAAAGTAGCACAGACATAATCACTAACCAGCAAGGGTAACGTTAGCATTAGTTACATGTCAAAACTGCTAACTCTCAACACTGCAAACGGTAGCACCTGTAACAATATAGACTCTAATACTGATTTAACAGCAAAGCTGAGTGCTTTAATAAAAGCTCTGGTCAGCAAACTGTTGTTAGGTTGTTATTATGTCTGCAAGGTTTACTAAATTGATACAGGCGAACATTACAACCGGCAGCTAAGCATTAGATAGCGGTTAGCCAGAGTTAGCTTGGTCGGCCTAGTCTGTGATGAGGGATTGAGGATTTGTATTGTTTTTCGTTGACGCTGTTGCTGCCCCTTTTCTCCGCTTGGTACTTCAGTCTTAGCGGTGCGAACAGGAACGATAAACGCTCATTTTAATCGACAACAGGTTGTAGCTGGATAACAGGATAAAGTTATGTGAGTGGCGATTTACAATAAACGGACTCAAAAGGTTTGTTGTTTACCTTTGTCAGTTGTCACTGGTTAGCGAGCTAGGCTAATGAGCTAATGCATAGCTAGCTCGACGGTGGGTTATGGACAGCTAAGTGCTAGCGCTAGCTTCTTAGCTAGCAAGTTTTGCTAAAAGATGCAGTAACGCTAGCTTAGCTGAAAGAAGCGTAGATTTCGATCCCATACGTTGTATTCCTTAAGGATATTCCGTTACAGCGGCAAGCCTTTGTGGTTTCAAGCATACCATGTTAAAGAATTTATGTACAAAAATGTTAATTGCAATACAGAAAATAAGGAGTGTACGCCTGGAGAAATGTACTTCGATTTTGAGTTGACGTAAGACGTGGGCACAACGTCATACGTCGACACGTACGTAATGTTTTGTTCCGCCCACAGTCTCATAAATAAAAAAGGCTGCCTCCGTGACATGGACTGTCTTGTAGTAACTGTCGGGACGATGGGCCTTGACCACATGGAAAATAATAAAACACAACAAGAAGAAAGTATGCATCATATATTCATATATATGTTGTCGATTTTTTTGTCTGAAATATCTGGTTTTCAGCAATGAGGAACATTGCTTATTGTTACTAAAGCAGTGCTGTTCCTATTAATTTCTTGCATTATAATGTGCTTATTATATTTTTAATTTTTCCTATTGGTCTATAAATACGAAACATGAATTAACAAAAATGCATGTTTCCAAAAGCCCAAAATGTCATCCATGCTGCTTGTTTGTCCATTAGCCATCGACCTATATATCAATAGTAATACTGATATAAAGCAGGTAGAGCTCCTTTTTATAAGCACACAGGTAAATTGCAAAGGAGATGCTTTGTAATCACTGACTGGCGTGTGACTAGAGCTGCAACATGCCTAACATTTCCACTATTAAAAAGTATGGTAGCATTTTTTTTTTCCCCACTTGAGATGCAAAATTAGTTTCCACTGTAAAATTCTTTAGTTGCTCATTTAATCTACTCTAATATATGAATCACAAAAAGAAATCTGTCTCTGTCCAGCTGCAGATTTTTCTGTGCATATGACAGTTATGTAGTGTGGAGCTGTGTGGTCTGTGTTGCTTTCTGTGTTGGGCCACTTCCCCCTCTTGCTTTAACTGAACATATCTTCTGTTCAGTTACTGATCTACACCTTCAGTGATCAAACAATTACAAAAAAAATAAAAATAAAAAACGAATCAAAGCCATTCTAATAATAGCATGCACCGTGACTCCATGTGATTAACATAAACTTTTTTATTTGGATGCATAGGTATATTTCGCTGCTTGTGTTTCTAAACTTTGACTCAAATTAATAAGAATATGAATGCAACACTTTGAATTGCACATTCGTTATTGTGCTTATGTCGATATTTCTTTTATAAATCTGCAAGCTTGATGTCTACACCCATGCAGTAATGGGAAGTGAAAGTTACTGGTGTCGATAGCATATGGTGAAAATGACCATCTTTAACTTCAGAAAGTATGGATTTATATTAAGTTTAGTACTCCAATCTCCTCCACCAAACTAAAGTGTATTGGTTTGCTATGTGTGTTTTCACTTTAATGCATTCTATAGGCATTGAAAGTCTGTCAGACTGCTCCATACAGCCCACAGCAGAGCTCGCACACTGGTGTCATCTTGTGTCGGTGAAAAGAGGAAGCAGCACTGATGCATGCACTTGCAGTGTGTCTGCCCTCTCCTTGCCATCTAAAAGAGATCTCTTGACAGTCTGAGAGTAGCTGTCAGTTTGTCGCAAACTGTTTCAGGAAGACGGTGTCACCCTGAAGACACAGAGGCAGCGAAGGATCCTTTGAGAATGGTAGGTGAAACTGATGCAATTGCTTGAAAGATTTCGCTTTTCTGTTGAAATTTACTGAATCTGATGGACTGTCACATACATGTATTTGTGTATCTATATATATATATTATTCCTTAACCATTGCGACACAAGTCGACCATCCCCCTTGCTCTTTTACACAGGAAACTACATTCTTGCATATCGCTGCAAAACATTTCCTGCCCTCAATATGTCAGAGTAGAGCTATGAATGTTTAATACATCCAACAAGGTAGATAGAGACCTCTACATCTGAACAGAGCAGATGTCTTTAACCACAGTTCTCTCTTTCTATTTCTATTCTGTCGACCAATCTACTTAAGTTTTTGGAAGCACAAGAGCATGTAAAGATATTTGAAAATTTCTTAGATTGACACAGCTTTACTCATATTTTTATGTCATATTTGTGCAGTCAAGCTCCCTGGTTGTGTGTGAAGTGGATGAAAGCCTGAAAGAGAAACTGAAAAAGTTTAGATTTCGAAAAGAGACCAACAATGCTGCCATTCTAAGTAAGTGTCACATAGTAATCCTGCATGTATAGTTACTTCTATATTACACTTTTTAACACATTTGTAACTTGATCATAACATTTTAAAATTGCATGTAAATACCAGTACATAACTAACAGCCTAAATACTCACTTTTCATTTTTAGTGAAAATAGACATGGAGAAGCAGCTTGTTATCCTTGAGGAGGAGTATGAGGCAAGTCAGACGTGGTCACTTGATCTTTTATTTTTTTGTCTAATTCTGCTTTAAAGGTCACTTACAATCAACTTTGTCTTCTAGGACATCTCACTCGATGCGTTGAGAGAAGAACTTCCAGAGCGGCAACCCAGATATCCTAACTGAATTTCTTATGATTAGCAAAATCCTCAATTGAAAAAAAACAACAAAAAATCTACTGATGTGATAACAAGCATGCAATAATTTACCTCTGAAACAATAAGCTGGAGTTCCTTGACAGTCGTGTACATTCATTGTCTACAGCTACAAATACGTCCATGCTGATGGGAGGGTGTCTTACCCTCTGTGCTTCATATTCTCCAGTCCGATGGGTGAGCAGTTATGGCGCTTTAAATGGACAGTAAATTTTCTGCTTTGATTAAACCATTGTACTGCTTAGTAGAATAACTGTTGAAGAAGTAGATACCTCCTAGTCTAAAATCCACTTCTTAAAATTTATTGAGGTGGCATTCATTGGATTTTTTTTTTTCATTTATTTATTGGACAATTTCCTTTTAATAGGGTGCAAGCCAGAGCAGCAGATGATGTATGCGGGCAGCAAGAATCGACTGGTCCAAGCTGCAGAGCTCACAAAGGTAATTATCACAAAATTATGACCCACAGTTTATCATATAGTGCTACATTAGTGAAGATCTAAAATATGTAAGGTCATAAAAAAGCATATTTTTAATATTTATACACTGTGTATTTTTTGCTTAGACGTGTCTTTAACAGAAAATCTGTCAAAAACACACAGATGTGGATTCCTCACTCTTACATTTGGTCTCTCAGGCAGTTTTTCAAACTTGTATCTCACAGTCATTAGAGTAAAACGCGAGTTATTGAATCTGCAGCATAACCTAATTTATTTACCAAAGTTTATTGGCTGCTCCGTTAGAAGATTATGCATATCTTTAGATGTGCAATTTGTTTTTGATTCTTCCACCCTTGTAATAACTAGCTTGAGTATTGATGAGTTCATATCTTTTCCAATGTGTAAGATGTTCTGTTAATTAGATTTTGAATGTCACACTTTCTGCTTCATTCTGAGGTCTTTGAGACAAGAAACGCTGATGATTTGACAGAAGAATGGCTGAAGAACCAGCTGGCATTTTTTCGCTGAATATGCATCGTCTATATCTCCAGTACTATAATGTACAGTAATTTGTGAAACATGACTGTCAATTTAATTTCCAGTTATTGTGTGTTATTGTTAATAAATGATTAGTGTATCACAAATCAGCTCTGCATTGAAATCAGTTGTTTTATGCATCATTCTATTATTTTTCCCGAAAAAGTCTAAACTTAGCATCGACCAACCGAATATTTTCTAATTATTTGTACTTTTTAAACTGATTATAACAGGCTGTGACGCCTAATAGGACTAATTAGAAGGTCCCAAAATCTGAGAGAGAGAAAAAAAGAACAACCTCTGACCACCAAGTTTATTACAAAACGTCAGCTGCAGTTTATTTTCAGTTTCAGTTATAATTTTTACATGATCCTGTACTGACTTTCTGACAAATAAAACAGGGAAATGGTGTACAAACAGCTACTGGTGTTGGAGTTAAATCTACAAATAAAAACTGGACTGAATAGAGATGTCTCCCATCCAAATACAAAGAGTATCCTGCACACAAATTTGACATTTGTAATCATGGGCAAACAAGAGCCCTGGACTAAGCTAATATCAGGCTCACTGGCAGGGCAACGGTGCCACGTTTGGAGCTGAACATACAGATAAGACAGGTGGCAGTCACCCTGCTGTCCAGGCCACGGATCTCATTCACTGTCACTGGCATCGCTGGAGTCGGAGCCTCTCTCGCTTCCACTTCCACTCTGAGCTCGAGTCTCTGAATGGTCGCTGCTGCGGTCGCTGCGTGCTGGAGATGCACTGCGGCTCCTGCTGCCTCTTCTGTTGCCCCCGTCGTCGTCGCTATCGCTGCCCTCCTCCCCGCTGCTCCTGGCTGAGTTCTTGGGCTCGTTGTCGTCGCTGTCGTCGTCGCTGCCGAAGATCTCTTCCTCATCTCGCATTTCTCTGGTCCTCTCCTCGCCGCTCTCACTGCCGCTGCCACTCGCCTTCCTCCTCCTCTTCCCTCTGTCCTCTTCCTCCTCGTCATCTTCTCCCCTCTGTTCGCGGTCCTCATCTTCCCTGTCGGATTCGCTACCAGAGTTCTCTGCCTCACTCCCGCTGCCCTTCTCCTTCTCATCACCTGGAAAAAACAATTTAGGCATCACTTAAAGCAGATGTTGAATAACTTAGCATTACTTAAGTGTAACAGGTGGAAAATTTGGTAAAACCCAGTAGCAGGTAAAAGAAAACTAACCAGAATCCTGCAAGTCTTTGTCCAGATCCATATCTTCCTCCTCGTCTTCTGGCTCATGGTTCTCCAGCTGAGCTTTACGTGCCTCCTGAGAATCAGAATAAAAGGAATCATCAGTTATCAATACACTAATACAGATGGGAAAAAGCCATCCAGCTGGTACTATACAACATATACTTCTACTCATCTTTATTTTGTTGTCACGTTGGAAGGCATTAATAAATCTGTATATAACATGTATGAAACACCTTCTTGTTCACACATTAAACACTGGCCTCATGCCAGTTTTTAAAACATTGATATTCACAAGTCACGTCCCATACAGGTGCTTTTGTTGTGTTGCATCTACTTTGTTCAGTAACTACAATGTGTGGCAAAAGAACCACTTGTATTAGACCAACATTACAAATGTAATATATTATAAATACTGCATGGGTTCATGTACTTTTTTTAAACTTAATATCTTGTCATCAATACCTTTAGTTCTATAAAAACTATAATTGTTTTTATTCAGTTATCACAACTCTAGGATATAGTCACAGTAACAAACTACTGTCCAGAAAGTGGTACAAAACTCAAGTTCGTATGCATCACTGCATGTTCCTGAACATGAAAAACAAAGAAGTGAACTCACCTGGGCTTCCAGCTCCTTCTCATTCATCTCTCTGTGCTTGCACACCAGCACAGCATTTGTGGTGGATTGTGCTCCAGCCTTGGCTCGTCTCTTGCTCAAACGCACTCTACAAGTCAGAACAAAAGGTGTCAGAGGACCTGGCCAAACAGTTTCCCATGAAGCCCCACTTATTATTTTGTACTGATTATCGTGCTTGTTTTGTACATGATCCCCACCAATGCTATTAAACTTTCTAAACCCCCATAAAAAAAAGACTTACGAGCAACAAATGTTCCCATAACAGTAGAACATCCTCCCATCATATCAAGCTGCACGAAAAGGAAATAGTTTCTCTGATGAGTACGTACCGTGTCTCCAACTCATTGTAGTAAACACCATCTCCATCTCTGAAGATAAAGAAGTAGTTCTCTTCATAACCCTTGCTGGCTTTGTTCTTGACGTTCCAGTTGTACTCCCTAGCAATCTTGTAATCGTACCTGAAACATAAAGAATAAAACACATTAGTACTTACATAATACAAACACAAGCACTGTTTCTGCTGCTAAGCTGAAAAAAAAAATCAAAAAATGGAACAATTAGTGGTTCATTCTGTGCAACATGTTCAACAATCCCAGATTTTCACTTACAGATCTTCTGGCATATAATCCATTCCCTCATCACAGTCTCTCTTGCGCTTGCGAAGTGTGTCCTCATTGGGCAGGAAGTAGGCCACAAACTGGTTTCCTTCCTCATCCATCATACCTCTGTATTACACAAAATGAAGTGTAGTTAATGCAAAAAGATTACTTCTGCAAGAAAAAAAAAAAACACACAGAAAACAGATCTGTTATAAATACCTGATCATGGCCTGAGACATCATTTCCACTCCTGCGGGCCCTGATATGTCTTTAGGTGCAGGATCAGAGTCAAAGATGACTTGAGCACATGGGTTGATCCACATCTGGGGAAAGAGACATTGGACAAAGCATTATTATCTAAATCGGTAAAGTGCCATTTTGTCAAACAAAACGAGAGAAATGACTGACTGCGTTCTTTACTGCTGTATGTACATTTTCTAGATTTTTTTGTTAAGTGTTTGCTTAGCTGTTCTTTTAACCTTTCTGAGACTACAGTGATTGTGGTCTATAATTTGAAATCATTCATACGGACTCCAAAAGTCTATAAAATTGAGTAAAATAATTTCTGTTAGGTACTTAGCTCACCTTAAAGTCGGGGAACACAGGTAGTATCTCCACAGGAGTAACTCTGGGTTTACTGTAGTGCTGCGCGATCTGGAGATTTAAAAAACAACAATTTCACCTTTACGAGTCATGCAACATTGACTGTGAATACTTTTAATACGCTGATTTCCAACATCACAAACTGTATTACACAACACAGAAAAACTCTAACAACAGGTCTAATACAGGATTTTTAACAGCAAAGCTTTGGGCCATTTATAATATGTTCACTTACCGATTTCTGCGCATCTTCAAATGTCTTTTCAATAGCAGAAATCTGACTGTCTCTGTCCTTGTAGATCTCTTCTTCTGTGAACTGCTGCTTGACAGATACTCCAATTCTAAACACATAACATGTTGACGTAAATCCTCACACACAAAAACATATGCATAGTGTTCTTATATCGTTCCACTATAAGGAAATATCAAGGTGAGTCCATTTATCCAACTTACTTGACTTCCACTTTCTCATTAGAGACGCCGTATCTGTTAAACTCTGTGGAAATGTATTCTGTTTTTCTCATCCACGGGACCACTTTGGCGTGCTGCTGTGACCTTATAGGGAGGAAGTGAACATGTCTCTTAGAAAAAGTCCAGAGGAATCAGACAGGTGAAGCTGCGTATTTTGTAGCCTTACCTCTTTGAGCTGGATGGAGCCTGGATGTCTTCTTCCAACAGTTTTTCATCGGCGGGGTCCAACAGAACTGAAAATGTGAAAGACTGTATCAGTCTACGTAGTCATTTGACAAAGCATTAAAGTCTTAATAAAGAATAGCACGTGGCTTGAGACAACGACTAGAGACTTACTGTTGGGGTCAATGCGGTAGGTGTCAGGGTTGATGAGATCAATGGTGACTCCGAGGTCAGGCTCAGTCAGGAGCTCATGCTTGTGCTGTTTCTCTAGAGATGTGGCTTTGTACTGTACAAACCTGCCCACAACAGAAAGATAAATGTTTTGTGTCTGTGTTTATTTATGGACAGAGAATACAGAGACAACTGGGTGAGTATAATTACCTGTGCTGATCAAATGGATATGTGATGAATTTGGGATCAAACGGGATGTCAGGCAAGCTGTTGCAGTACTTTACTCGACAGACAACTCCTGACCTGTGATAGGCATAAGAGTAGAGGGAAAAAATGCAATTGCAGTCATCCAGCAATATACACATACCTTAGGCACACTTGAAATACTGCACGACAACAAATACAAAAGTGTGTGAAATCGACTCACCTCTCTGGAACAGTTCTGTGAGAGGACGGCCGACTGGAAAAGAAAACAGTCATTTGTCAAATGTGTTATCATCTTTTATAGTTTAAATCTGATCATACTGATAATCTGTGTTCCACTGTGTGCAGGACACTAAAGAACCACACCTTTGTGTTTATTCCCTTTATGCAAATAATTTCAACCAAACCATAACAAAAGGAAGAAAAATGATCAAGTCTCTAAATAGCTCTCATTATGGCCTAATGCATATTCCACAATGTACTGTAAAGGTGGTAGCACATTGTCACTAATGAGATCAAAAAGAGGTGTTTGCCAGGTAGGTTAACACCCTTAACTCCAAAACCCAGTACAAAAGGATTGTTTTAAAAAAAAAAAAGAAAAAAAAAAAGAGAGAAATAGAAATTTATCAGACCCATGAACTGTAAAAGCCAAACAAAGTCATATTTTGTGTTAAAATTAACCAAATCTAAGCCTAACATCGTGGTATTTCTTTAAAATCACATTATTCTACATGTCTCATTCAGAAATTTACCAAAAATAACCATTTACAGGCTTTTTTCTATTTTTGTAAGATCACAAAAAATTTACTTGGATTTTTAAAATGTATTTAATTATGATTCATGGCATTATGAGCTCTATCCTGCACATGCGTAGACGTTAGTTCTCTCTACGTGTAGCCATGGCTGTGCTGTTTCCACACAGGTGCAGGACTTTACGTTGCAGTGGAAAAATGAGCCCAAAATGAGTAAAAATATTTTTTAAAAAGGAGAAAAAAAAAGATGCCTACAAACCTGCTTGAAGTTCAGAGGTTTGTCAAACACATGTTGCTATGCCAG